TTGTCGAGTCGGTTCTGACCCACAGTGACCCTGTATAGGATTTCTCTTGTAAGCTTGAAGTGCCAACCTTGTGGTTCAAACCAACTTTGCAGTCCAGTGCATTAACCCACAGTGCCACACCAGGACTCCTAATTGGAACCTAGTGATAGCTAAAACATGCAACTGATTTAGATTAAAACCGAGGGACCCTCTCACTGGCTAATACTGAGCAGGATTTCTGCAGTTGAGTACTTACTTCAGCAGTGAGATAACAAAATTAGATACAATTGAGGGGAAGAAAAATGCACAAAAGTCCTTGAATTAAAATGAATTGAAACCTTCTGGGAGAAAAGCTATTTTGTAAGCTCCATTAAGTCTATTGTAGATGGCTTTATTTGACAAAGCAGCATCCTGGCATGTGGAACAGGAAAGAAAATGGCTATAAGATGATCTGTCAGGGAGTTTCCAGTCTCCAAATGAATAAGATTCTGTGCAGTAGTCAATTCAACTTTTAACTCAAAAGAGATACAGGAGCAAAATGCAATTAGACCCAAACCTACTGACGTTGGATTGAGTCTGACTCATAGCAACCCTGTAGGACAGTGTAGAACTGCTCCATGTTTCCTAGGCTGTAAATCTTTATGGAAGCTGACTGCCACATCTTTCTCCTGCGGAGGCACTGCTGAGTTCAAACCAGCAGCCGTTTGGCTAGCAGCTGAACATCCTACCTAGTAAGTGCACTCAATCTGAATCTCTACTACACTGCTTCTCTCTCCTAATAACTTCTCACACTCCACAATTTATCAAGTAAGGATGCTCAAACTAATGGTTGCATTTATTTAATAATACTGGATAAACACTCTTCTATACATACTACAGACACTGCAGTGGAGATAATCCTACAAGTCATAGCTTACCAGTTATAGAACATCCTGGCTATGTACTTCAATAATTTAAATAGCTCAGTTATTGTTAAACTCTTTTATGTATTTTAGATCTAAGTTCATAGCATTTATTTGCAGTAAGTGTTGTTGTTATGTGTCGTGGAGTCGGTTCTGACTCATAGCGACCCTGTACAGGGTTTCCAAGGCTATAAATCTTTACAGGAGCAGAAAGCTTCATCTTTCTCCTGCAGAACAGCTTGTAGTTTTGAACTGCTATCCCTGAGGTTCACAGCCCGATTCGTAACCACTATGCTACTAGAGTAATTAGTGTTCTGAAAATACTAATTATCCAATGATGGTAAAAGGTTTATTAAATATAGATGTTTTCTTGTATGTTTAGGTATCTAACATATGGCAAAAGTGGTGGAAACTCAGATGTAACAGCTAATGAATGCCTTAAAAAACATGGTTTTGTGGTTTTTGTTCCTTCAGAGTTTCTGTTAATGCACTGAAGATTCTAGTACCACTCAGTGGCTATAGAGCTACTGCCTTCAACATCTATTTACTGGATCTAAGAGTTTTGAATAATAATCAATCAACCTCTCTGTCTAATGAATCAATCTCTCTCTCTCTCTCTCTCTCTCTCACACACACACACACACACATTTATTAAGCATGTACTATGACCAGACACTATGACAGGTGCTCCACTAGACTGTGAGCTCCTCAAGGGCAAGGCCAGTATATGATTATACCTACAGTGTAGCATAGTCGTGAGGAGTTGGGCTACTAACCTCATGGTCAGCAGTTTGAAACTACCAGCGGTTCTGCTGGAGAAAGGTGAGGCTTTCTGCTCCCATAAGAATTGACAGCCTTGGAAACCCTGTGCAGGGTCGCTATGAGTTGGAACCGACTCCACGGTACATAATCACCACCACCACCAATGAATGAATGCATGAACTCAATGAACCATCTCACCATCCCAGTTAGATGACTTTTATAAGGTATTTCTTATAAATGAGGGAATTGAGGCTTAGTGGAGAAATCCCTCCTTTGTCAAAGACAGAGAAGGCACTAGAACTAAAGTATTCCAACTTTGACTTCACTACTTTTTCCACGGACTCTTACAGATGACTAAGTTTGACTGGAATGGTTTGCCTGAAAACACTAGTGTTCGTTGATATTGATATTTTATTCTCCCTGTGGCAATTTCTGGGCAAGATAGTTTGTAATGAAACTGAAAGTTTTTGGTGGTGTCATATTTTTCATTAGGCTTGCCCTAGTGGTTCCATCAGAGACCCACACCGTGCCTACTGCTCGACACTGAGGTCCTAAAAGCAGTGCAGCCCATACAACTGTGTGTGGACTTCTATTTTGGTTCCTTATAGAATCCCAAGTAACCACACAACAGCAGGCAGCAGATAGACAGGAGATTGTGAAATTTTGTAGATATTTTCCCTTTGTAATCTTGTCTTTTATCTTTATGATTTTATATGGAAATATTCAATTTTTATGCAGACAAATTTTTTAAAACTTTTAGGATTTCCAACATTGATGATCACCACTTGTCTGTCAGTTAAGTCATACTGTGTGGCTAGCGTGTTGCTGGAAGTTAGGCCACCAGTATTTTAAATAACAGCAGGGTAACCAGTGGTGGACAGGTTTTAGCTGAACTTCCAGACTAAGAAGGAGAGACAGAATACTGTCAGATATTGTGCTGGAAGATGAGTCCCTCAGCTAGGAAGGGAACTGTGATTGGGATGACTCAAATGGAGTAAAGCTTTTGGGACCTTCATTTGCTGATGGGGAACAACTCAATATGAGGAAAAACAGTTGCAATCATCCTTAAATAATTGTAACAGGAATGTATGAAGTAGGACTTTAGGAAATTTGGAAGTTGCCAAAAATGAAATGGAATGGATAAACATCAATATCCTAGGCATTGTTGTTGTTAGGTGCCATCGAATAAGTACTGATTCATAGCGACCCTATGCACAACAGTCCTGGGCCAACCTCACAATTGTTGCCACACTTGAGCCCATTGATGCTGCCACTTTGCCAATCCGTCTCTCTGGGGGTCTTCCTCTTTTTCTCTGACCCTCCACCTTACCAAACATGATAGATATCCTTCTCCAGCGACTGGTCCCTCCTGACAATATGTCCAAAGTATGAGAGACGAAATTTGGCTATCCTGGCCTCCAAGGAGCACTCTGGCTGCACTTCTTCCAACACAGATCTGTTGGTTCTTTTGGCACTTTAAATATTCTCCTCCAACACCATAATTCAAATGCATCAATTCTTCTATGGTCTTCCTTACACACTGTCCAGCATGCATATGAGGTTATTAAAAATACCATGGCTTGGGCCAGGCGCACCTTAGTCCTCAAGCTGACATCTTTGCTTTTCAGATTTTTCTAATGCAATACGTCTAATGCAAAAAAAAGAAAGACTTTATTTTGCTGGGATCAACCATCAACACTCATGGAAGCACCAGTCAGGAAATCAAATAATGTAATGCATTAGGCAAATCTGTTACACAAGACCTCTTTATAGAGTACACAAGAGCAAAAATGTCAGTTTGAGGACTAGGGTGTACCTGATACAAACCAAGGTGTATTCAATAACCTCATATACACGAGAAAGTTGGACAGTGAATATGTAACACAACAGAAGAACCTATGCATTTGAGCTACGGTGTTGGAGAAGAATATTAAAAGAACCATGGACTTCCAAAAGAACAAAGAAACCCATGTAGGAAGAAGTACAGCTAGAGTGTTCCTTAGAAGCCAGGATGAACAGATTTCGTCTGTCATACTTTGGACATATTATCAGGAGGGACCAGTCCTTGGAAATGAACATCATGCTTGGTTAAGTGGAGGGTCAGTGAAAAAGAAGAAGGACCTCAATGAGATGGGCTCACACGTAGCAACAATTGTGAGACTGGCACAGGACTAGGCAGTGTTTCATCCTATTGTGCCATATGGTCGCTATGAGTCAGTACCGACTTGATGGCACCTAACAACAATATTGATGACCTTCACCCCCTAATCACATAACCAACCTCTAGGGTTTCTATGCAGAGTCCTGTTGTGGTGCTGTGGGAATAAAGCACTGGACAGCAAGGTCAGTTTGAACCACAGGGTTGGCTGTTCATACTCACAAGCCACTCCCTGGAAACCTTATACAGGGTTGCTATGAGTCATAATGGCCTCGACAGCACTTAACAACAACAATGGTTTCTATATTTTATTTGGCCTTGTTAAGTGTCACTGAGTTGGTTCTGACTCAATAGCGACCCTGAGTAGGGTTTCTTAGGAAGGGCTGGTGGTTTGAACCACTGACCTTACAATTCAAGTGAACTTGTGGCTCAGTGCTTATCCTATAGCTCCACTCTTAGACTTTTAATGTTTTTGTGGTACATTTAAATTTTAAATTAATCTATAATTAATTTTGGTGTCAGGTGTTAGATCTAGGGATCTAATTATTTTCTCCAAAATGATGACCAGTTACTTCCTAATACACTGGTTTATGGATTCCCCAGCAAAATGTTACTAATAAATGTAAAACAAACAGAACAATATTGCCTAACTGCCTTGCTTTTTGGAAAAGAAAATCTACTTTCAAGTAGATGATGAAATAGAAGATAGAAACAGATGAAGATCACAGAAAATCCTGTAAGCACAAGGTTGCTATTCAGCCAGTATATACTTAGATGGCCTTACCAAGTATTTCTAGCTGGTGCCCAGTACTATTGGAAGATACCCACACCTTACTGAATATTAAAACTTTTTAATAGTATTCCTGCAAGCATGGTGGTGGTGGTATTTAATAGTATTCCTGCAAGCATGGTGGTGGTGGCATTTAATAGTATTCCTGCAAGCACGGTGGCATTTAATAGTATTCCTGCAAGCATGGTGGTGGTGGTACTTGTATGCTACCCAGTTAGTGCAGATGTTCTGTATAGGGTTTCTGAGGCTGTGTATCTTTACAGAAACAGAAAGCCTCATCTTTATCCTGAAGAACAGGTGGGAGATTCCAACTGCAGACCTTGTGGTTAGCTCATAATCCACTATGGTACCAGGGCTCCTTCCTACAAGTAGATGTTCCTTAAATAAAACAAAGCAAACTTATCCTTACCTGATTCTTCAGTTTCTTTGTTATCTATTGTTTCTTCTATTTCTTCCTCAGACATTTCCATTTCTTCTTCTCGCCTGATTCCCATTAGTTCATCATTATGAATATTGCGAATTTCCTAAGGTTAAAAGGTATAATTTTTAGATGGGAAAGTCTTGAACATGCAGAAGAAACAAACAGAGTTAGGGTTCAGATAAAGGTTTTGGGGGGCATATAACAAAATCTGTGGCAAAGGCATACAGTCATACTGGAAAGGAAAAACAAAGTGCACTCTACTGTATCTTAACTTGGAACCTTCTTTCCAAAGCCAGGACTCTGGTAGTCTATGGCTCTTGTATCTCTCTCAGATTAGAAAATACTTTAAGCCTTACCTCTTACATGGATTTCTGGACTTTCTGTCAGGGATTCTGCCAGTTTCACCTTCTCATTTCTGAGCGCACCCCCCCTTTCTTTGCCAATGTCTTATTGTGAATTAGGTAAAGATTTACAGAGCAGATCAGTCTTTCATTCAACAATTCATATGCATTTTGTTTCATCTCACTGATTTGTGGTCTCCACAGTGTAACACCACTTCTCCCACTGGTTTCCCATTTCCATTCCTCTTTTGTTCCTAACCCTTCTGAATCTTGTCCTGGGTAGATGGCTACTTGCTATCAAATAGTTGATTGTTTTAAGGTGTACACACCTCCCTAGTGGGAATGGTCCCCATACAGACCTATCATTTGAGTGAAAATTGAGCCATAGGTGGGGTGAGTTAAATGACTAAGAATCACAGCCTCAAAAGTTTTTCCAGTTTCTATATGACAAGTTATAGTTGTTAGGTGCTGTCAACTCATGGTGACCCTGCATAGGGTGGTGCTGTGGACTAAAGCACTGGACCACAAGGTCAGTGGCTCAAACTCACCAGCCACACTCTTTGGAAATCCTATACAGGGTTGCTATGAATTGGATCAACTCGAGGGCACTTAACAACAAAAACAATTCTTTATGGGAGCAGAAAGCATCTTTTTCCCATGGTGTGGCTAGTGGATTCGAACTGCAGACTTTATGGTTAGAAGTCTAATGTTTATCCTACAACACCACCAGGACTTTTCCCAAGTAAGAACACCACCAGGACTTTTCCCAAGTAAGCCTGGTCATTTTTATGATTTGGAGTTTTCTACATTTTTCTCCCACTCTCTCCAGGACCTTCTAATGTGATCCCTTTTAGAGCAGTTAGTACTGCTAGCTGGGCACCATCTAGGTCTTTTGGCCTCAGGGTCCATTGGAGTAACTTTGCTGCTTTCCATTCTCTTCACCATTCAACAGAATTCTTAATCAAATTTTTATAGGTTTGCAAGTCAGAGCAAAAATGAGCTGTCAGGAGCAAGCTCTTACCAGATCAACTCTCCCATGGATAACAACTTTAAACTCTGGACAAAACACAAAATAAAACAAAGCAAACCAACGCCAAACCAAATCTATAACTACTTGAGGGCAAGGAAGAGTGACAAAGTAGGCTTATTCTAAAGAATACGGAAGAAGTGAACAGTATAAGATGAGCTTCCTAAAGGTGGATTTTTTAGGGTTTTTTTTGAGTCACATAATCTAAGAGTGCAGAGTTCTGGTAGCATACTGGGTTACGAGTCAGGCTGTTAACAGAAAGGTCAGCAGTCGGAAACTACCAGCCGCTCCATGGGAGAAAGATAAGGCTTTCTGCTCCTGTAAAGATTTACAGGCCGGAAACCCTATATTGGGTCACTATGACAGAATCGACTCCACCAGCATAGTCTGAGAGCAGACCAGAATTAGCACCTCACAGGGTGGCCAAAACTCTAATAGAAAACCCATAGTCTTTATGGCCTAAAGAACTTGGAGGAGAGAGTTCCTGGCAACCATAGCCATTGGAGCATGTGTGCATGGGGAACCCCAGCAAGGAGGGGAGAGCTCAACCTTCTCATATAGGCCCTGTCCAAACTTCGGCATGACCCCTGAACCACGTGTGCACAAACAGGGCAGATTCCAAGCAGCACAACTAAGGCTAAAAGAATAGAATTGTGATTTGAGCTGCCATCTAAGACACAGAATTTCCAGTTTTAAGCCACTGAAATTGACAATTAAAACAAGGTCAACACACTTTAAAAGAATACAACAGAGTCCAGAGTCTTCCAAAAAAACCCAATCACAGTATGTAGGAAAAAAATCCAAAATTACTTGACATACAAAAAGCTTGATTTTATTGTTATGTACCGTTGAGTTGGTTCTAACTCATCTTTCTTCCATGGAGTGGCTGGTGGACTCAAACTGTGAACCTTGTGGTTCACAGTCCAATGCTTATCATAAGGAGTCGCTGTTCTCCCACATACAAAGAACTAGAAGGAGTGAATCCATTCTCAAGATAAAAGACAACACAGAGCAACTGTGAAATAACTGACTTGTGAAAATGTGCAGATGAGGATTTGAAAGCAAGTCCTAGTGTGGTGCTGTTAGCATAAGCTAGGTTGGCAGCGTGAACCCACCAGTTGCTCCTCAGAAACTATATCGGGTTGCTGTGACTCAGGACCAACTCGGAACTTAGCAACAACAACATAACTATGCTCAGCTATGCAAAAGAAATATGCTTCTAAAGAATAACAATGCTAAAAACCCCAGCAGAGAAATTGTTAAGTGTCATCAAGTCAGTTCCGATCCATAACGACCCTGTATAGAGTTCCTGAGGAGCGGCTGGGGAGCTAGAACCCACAGTGCCACATGAAGACTCCTGCAGAGAGACAGAAACTATTAAATAGAATCACATGAAACTTCTAAAACTAAGAAATGGGATAAAAATGGAAAATAAAACAATATAAATTCATCCAATCTGAAGAACAGAAGCATTTAAAAAAAAGAAAAAGAAAAGAAACTTTGGGATCACCTAAGTAAGACCAAACGTACCTATAACAAGGACTTGGAGAGAATGATTTAAAAATATTTAAATAATGGTTTAAAAGTTTCTAATTTGGTGAAAGACAATCTACAGATTTTATGAACCCCAAGCAGGATATATGTGCAGGCAGGAACCATAGTAAGAACCTCACATACAGTCAGATGTTCACTACTGTGATTTAAGGAGAAAATTTTGAAAGCAACCACAGGAAAGAAACATATTAAATATAAGGGAACAATAATTTAAATGCATTCATCTCTTTCAGAAACAATGAAGGTCAGAAGGTAGTAGAACCGTTTCTTTAAAGTGCTAGAAGACAAGGAATCTGTTTACTTAAAGACATTTTCAGACATACAAAAAACCTGAGCGAATCCATCACCACCAGACCTGCACTGTGAGAAATGCTAAAGGGAATTCTTCAGACTGAATGGAAGCACCACCAGATATAAACTCAGATGTGCATTAATGCATACATAAAAAGCATTGGACATGACCGGGATCACTCGGGACAATCACTTAAAAAAAAATACATAGGACTGTGTATTTTAGAGTAGCTTGTAATCACTTAGAGGTCACCTGATACCTGCCACCAGCATCTCAGCACCAAGCAGAGAATTTCCGGTGTAGGTTAGCCCCAACTAGACTGTCATGAAGGACACAGTCAAAGCTGTTTTATAGACACTGCCTCCATTTAAGGGGACTATGAATATTTCAAGGAGCTCTGGTAGTGTAGTGATTACGAGTCCGGCTGCTAACCTCAAGGTCAGTCCTGCGGGAGAAAGATGAGGCTTTCTGCTCCTGTAAAGATTTGCAGTCTCAGAAACGCTATGCAGGGTCACTGTGAGTCAGAACCAACTCCATGGCACATAACCAACCAACCAACCAACCAACCAACCAACCAACATAATATTTCAAGATGGATTTCTTAATCCTTAATGCTATGTTGTTGTTGTTGTTGTTAGGTGCCGCTGAGTTGGCTCCGACTCATAGTGACTTTATTATGCACAACAGAATGAGACACTGCCTGGTCCTGCTCCATCCTCACAATCACTGTTAAGCATAAGCCCATTGTTGCTGCCATTGCGCCAATCCATCTCGCTGGGGGTCTTCCTCTTTTTCTCTGACCTTCTACGTTACCAACATGATGTCCTTCTCCAGGGACGATTCTATCTAATAGCCTCCTTTTTTCTTCCTCTTATTAGAAAGAAAAATGGATTCTAGATCAGGAAGTTTTAAATAACAATAAATAAAAGACCCCTTTACAAAGGTGAGCTGTTTGGACTCATCACTAATAGTTAAGAAGTCATAGAAAACACCAATAGTTAAGAATAGAAAAATCAGATGATAACATAGCATCTCTTATGTGCTAGAGGGGCATTACTTAAAACAGACGAAAATAATGATTTGCTTGAGAAAAATGATCTCTAAAGAACTGTGTCAGGAGAGAAATTTGGTATGTCTAATTCAAACTCAGTACACAGAAAACAATAAAAAAAATTGCTCATTTCTAAGAATTCATTCCATCTCTAGAGACTGGGTTTCAGGTATCATCAAAGAGCTGTTATTGGAAGGGGGATTGCAGTTAGGTTTGACACTGGCTAATGTAAATACTGTACAACTTACTGCAGCAGGAGCACTTGTGACTCTCCTAGTTGCCTAACAAAAATGTAGGATGTCAGAAGGTATAAGCAGAGACCAAGTCTCAATTCACAAACATGCCACGTCACTCTGGGAAAGTTACTGTCTTTCTCAGAAGAGTAAACTGTGATCCTTCTAGGGAAATGTCCCAGGGCAGCAAGATCTAACAGAGCTAAGACATGCCCTATAGCTGCTCAGTAGCCACAAAGCATCTTTCTGGTACCAGCTGGGTAAGAAAGCATAATCTCTTCTTAGAAGTATCAAACGTTCAGTGGCCAGGTGACACAGCTGCTCTACAGGGCTCTGGCATCTTTAAGAAATCCCTATGGGCAAATTTTACCTTAATGCCTCAAAATACTCCAGGATCAAGAATGACCAGTTCCATTTAGCTGATAATGGAATGAGGATAAGAAAAATTAAGGGAGAATTTGCTTCAATTTAGTTGTTGTTACGTGCCACGGAGTTGGTTCTGACTCATAGCGACCCTGTATAGGGTTTCCAAGGAGCAGCTTGTGGGTTTGAGCCACCAACCCCGTGGTTAACAGTCCGTCGTCGAGTCAGTTCTGACCCAGAGTGACCCTGTGTAGACTTTCCGAGGAGCAGCTGCTGAGCTTGAACTGCTGACTTTGCGGTTCAAACAAAATGTGCAATTCAGTACATTAACCCACAGTGCCATAGCAGACTAATTGTTAAGCCGGTAATTTTGTGTGGCCCATGAATGATGGGAAAGAGTGGGAAACCTTTGGCAGAAAAAAAGGTTTCCCACCCCTCCAATAACAGGGTCTCTACAATTGTAAGACACATTGAGAATTTCTCTCTCCATCTTTATTTTTCTGAAAGAAAGCATTTGGGTCTTTTAAATTTATTGTACGGAATGAAGTCCAACTGCTTCGTAAAAAACCCTACATAGGGACGCTATGAGTCAGAACCGACTTGACGGCACTTAGCAACGACACACTACTATGTTATAATGGTGTGGCACTGTAGGATCAGCACTGGACTGCTAACTATAAAGTTGGCAGGTCACACCCACCAGTTGCTCCTTGGGAACCCTATATAGGATTGCTATGAGTTGGAACCAACTCAATGACACTTAACAACAACAAACTCTAAGGAACTCTGGTGGCACTCTAGAATAGCACTGTGATACTAATCACAAGGTTGACAGTTCAAACCCACCAGCTACTCCACAGGATAAAGATGAGGCTTTCTACTCCTGTTAAAGATTTACAGCTTCGGAAACCCTATCCAGGTCCCCCATGAGTGGACGCTGACTCCATGCAGTAGGTGGTGGTTTACTAACCTTTACTTTTCCTCCTGATCAACTTAGTGACCTTTCTAGTTCCCCGAGGACAAAGAGCATTTCATTCTGCTTTGCCTAACACAATACCAGAGACAGAGAAAGTGCTCAGTACATATCTAAATTGATATTTTGAATTTTTTGGGGCTGTTGCTAAGCGCCGTTGAGTCAGGTCCGACTCATAGTGACCCTGTATAGGGTTTCCGAGGAGCAGCTGGTGAGTTTGAATCGCTGACCTTTCGGTTCAAACTGACCTTGTGGTCCAATGCTTATCCTACCTACAGTGTCACATCAGGTCTCCAGGTAGGTACCCTGATATAATTTTGTATCACAATAAGGCATTAGCTTCCTTTCTGTTCCTAATTATTTGTTTTAATAATTAAAAAATGCTATTAGCACACTGGACTGATGTCTTCAGGGCTTTCTTCTCCCTGAACCCCAGATCTGCATCTCTGCTGTTTTCAAACAGTTGCCATACAAGCCATCCCATATAAGCTAAGAAAGGACAGAGAGAAGAGATTATGATCTTCATCTTACAGATGAGGACACTGAGGCCCACAAGATTAAGTCACTTGCTATGAGGCAGTTTACACCCAAGTGAGATGAGTAATTTCAAGTCCTGGGTTGAGCACCTGCTTCAGGTGAGCTTTGGTGTAAATCACTTTACATGGATGTTGTGTCTACTTTAGATCCCAGATATTGTTAGTAAGGAATTAACATAACACTGTTGTTGTTTTTGCTAAGTGCCATCTCATGGTAAACCTGTATAGGGTTTCCCAGGAGCAGCTGGTGGGTTTGACGCGCTGACCTGCTGGTTAGCAGTCTAGCGCTGATCCTACACACTATTTGCATTTTTCAAACTGTTTACATATCCCTTATCTCATTTAATCCTATAAGATTGATTTTATTATTATCTCCAATTTCTAGATTGACAAAGGTTGAACAACTTGCTCCAAGTCATATATGCTATAATTTGTCAAAGCTGAGATTTGAATTCACACTTAATTCCACGTTCAATGCTTTATCCACTACACCACATCTATTGTGAGGCTCACAACAGGCGAGCTCAGTGATATGAAATGTGCTTTATAAAATGTAAGTACCTTAAAAATTCAATTCCAATGTTAAGGAACATGATAACTTGCACTGACCAATGTAACAGGACCAGTACCAAACTGGCAAAAAGGACTCAGAATCAAAGGTGGAAAAGTTGCTGGAAATACAGATTGAAGGCGTCAGGGTTGGGCAAGGAAGTTGTGTTTAGGAACAGAAGAGCTTGAGGCATATGTTCTACCATTGCCAAAAGCAGATCCGTGAAAACAAACCCTCTCATCTTGACGTTCAGTCTGAGATTCACAACAGCAACCTATAATTGCATCACACATATTCTAGTATTACACTAAAAATGTCACTTCAGCATAGGCAGAGAGGTGTGTATCAACTGTAATATGAAATCCAAGTCTTCTGTTGCCTCTAAAGCTGCCTTCTATAAAGATGGCTGAATGGGTTTAATAAAAGAAGCTTAGAAACTGCAATGCTCCAGCAATGTAAGGCAACCCTAATATTACTAACTCAGGTCACTAATTATTGTTGTATCCAAGACTAGCCAGCTTGGAGAAATAAACTTAGAATTATCACAGCTACAATTTCACTCCTAGGGTTTCCATCCAGCAAAAGGCATTCAAGGTGGCACGTGAACATATTTATTACCCTTTCGGCAGCAGGTGGTGTGGGCACAGTGACAGGCTATAGAATATGTCTTAAAAAGTGTTTCATTAGGGCCTTGTGACCAGGGGAGCTTGGCACTATTTAATGCTGGCTAAACTTCAAATCAATAACATGTTAAAGAAAGAAACTGTCTTCTCGAGGAGATCGAGTAAAACGTTACCAACCTCAGCTTGTTTGCACCAAACGCTGATGTTTTTACGCTGGGCTTTTGTGAAGTGGTCCCAGGCCTTTTGCTTGGAGGCAGAATGGTACACAGCCACGATCTGCTCAACTGCAGCATCATCAAATCAGCAGTTGAATCAAGGTCAGTAGATCATCAGGAATGGCAAAAGAGAAGAGACAAATAAAAGAGAAGCATCAGGCTTGCTGTATCTTCTTGCTTATCACATTACACTGGACTGTGGTCGTGCTTGAAAAAGACTGTGTGTTTGGATACTGTGATGCTAAAGGGACCGTGAAGACAGAGACATCCATACACAGAAAGGAAAAAGCAAATTTTTGATGGTCTAGGGCGAAACAATAAATAAAATTACGATGCAGTCAATCTGGATGCATCCAAGCAGGCCAGACAAGAGGGTAGTGAATGCGATTTTGTACTACTGACCCTACACACACTGCAGCAAGTGACAAACGGCACCTGCCATTTCTCCTACTGGCTCTCGTCCATCAGCTGGCCCTTCAAAACAAGCCTGGATGCTTCACTTCAACAGAATTTACCCTTGTGGCATTGTTTAAGCAGAAGAATCAAATAAAAATCTATGGTATATGTATTTCAAGTCTACTTAGAGCACCGACTGGAGGAATATAGTTTCTAGACGGTATTTTTGCAGGGTTGCTTGAAATGTTAACTTAGTACAGCTATTCTGGGGTCTTTAATCCAACTAGTTCAAAGGGGGAAGCCTATACATGACTCTTTGGGGGAAAGAAAAACAGGACCACCACCTGGCCAGGTGTTCCAGTAAGAAAGTACAGATCTGTTCTTTATTTCTTTACAACACTACTTGTAACCTGCCTTCTGATGACTGAAGGAGTTACAGCCCTGTGACACGTGTTCTGCTCTTTCTACTTATTCTGAAGTCTTGAAGACATGTGCTTTGTCCTCCTGGATTCTGTGCCCACATATATTTTCAAAATTAAAATGGGAACAACAACTCCTCCTTAATCCCAATTATGTGTGAGTCAGTGGACTATATGGGAAGTTGTTGTTAAGTGCCGTCGAGTTGGTTCCGACCCATAGTGACCCTGCACAGGGTTTCCGAGGCTCTAAATCTTTACGGGAGCAGAAAGCCTCATCTTTCTCCCACGGAACAGCTGGTAGTTTCAAACTGCTGATCTTGCGGTTCGCAGCCTGATTCTTAACCACTACGCTACCAGAGCTCCTTAATTGTTTAAAAGCAAAGTTATGAAACTGTACCCTTTTTCTTGAGGTCACTACAGCTCCTCCCTGAAAAGATATGAGCCAAAGTATTACTTGAGAATGTCTCTGTTCTGTCTCACTTAAGGGACCTTGCAAAGGTTTGGAGCAGCACGTCTCTTTGATAATGGCCATTTCTGTGGCTTCCAATTTCCTATTCTCATGCCTATGAAATCCAGCACAAGAAAAATTGTTGTTGTTAGGTGCCATCAAGTAGGTACCAACTCATAGTGACCATATGCAGCACAGAACAAAACACTGCCTAATCCTGGGCCAACCTCACAATCGTTGCCACACTTGAGCCCAAGAAAGATAGGGAAAAGGAAATGAAGTATAAAAGTAGGAATAGCCAAATTTGGTTCCTTTTCATTCACTTTGGGAAAGATAATCAAATTTATTACTAAAATAGAATACCTAAAGAGTTGGTTACATGACAAGAATGATCCAATTGTGAAGAAAAACGGAAAATGCTTCGGCAATGAAATCCCACATCCTCCACTAAGGCCCAGGGTTGCTAGTGACTTACAGAGAACAAGAAAACGTCAAAGTGCAGGATTGTGGCTAAATGCTAGGTTTCTAAGGAGCGGAAGTACAGACACCAGAGAAGATGAAGACAGGCAATGCTTACATACATTCTGTGGACCAAGAAATTGGGCCGAGAAGGACGGCTCTGTAGGCCCAGGGCCCTGCATGTACAGTGGTGACTAAGCACCCTCTCACCGTCACCAGAACTCCGACTTCTACTCACACTGAACAAGAATTCCAGAAAGGGCCTGTTTGAACTTCTCCTTTGCTGCTTCCATGTCTTTCTCATGGGCAGTTTTCTCATTCACAAGGCGGCGGATGTGGCTGTTGGCCGACTGGATCATCGAATAGAAGTTGTTGGCACTGCGACGGTTCACCTCTCCACGCTCGATCCAGGTGAGCAAAGTCTGCACAGCTTCAGAGAATTTGGAATCATCTGGGGTGGGGGGGGGAGGGAGTGGGTGTGGAGAGAGAATTATATTTAGAACCATTAAAAAAAAAAAACCCAACAGATTTTAATCCATGTCCCCAGTACACAGGTGGCGAGGCCACTGTGGCTTTGGAGCAGTCGTTATTAAATGAATTGCACCATTGTGCACAGACAGCAGACAGACTGACTTGGAAACAGCCAGATTGGTGCAGTCTCTGAAGAATTTTTAGAAAGTGAATTGTTTCATTTCTTTTTACCCTTAAGAAAAAAGTTTTCTTTACAAATACTATAGCTTTCACATCCTGTATGTGTGTGTGTGTGTGTGTATGAGAATAAATAGTGAGGGAACCTCAGAATTCTACAATTCTATATTTTAATAAGGAAAAGTCAATCTGAGCACTGAATAACTGATTTTAACTTTACCTGGGTTCCACAGAATGATAGTGTTGGAAGGTGCCTTAAAAATAGTTCAGTGATTAATTCTTAAGGTATAAATACTTACATCTTAGCCCTTTTATAACATGACTCCTGCATCCAATCCACAGCCCCAGGCCTTCCACTCAGTCAGAGTCACAAGATATTTGGATGCAATTCATTTCATTTCTACAGCTCTCTATATCCTGTGTCTCTGGCCTGAGGAACCCTCCAAGTACATTTCTGCAGCTAGCTAAGAGTTAATCTCTGGTGTTCAAACCATTAGCAAAGCTTTTGGTCTAGCTCCCTGAGACAGACACATAGAGATTCTGCTGCTAAAGACCCTTCCAAGAAGAGATGGTTAGCATCTCACTAAAGCCCTGGTATGTTGTTGTTGTTATGTGCCGTGGAGTCGGTTCCTCCTCATAGCGGCCCTGTACAGGGTTTCCGAGGCTGTAAATCTTTACAGGAGCAGAAAGCCTCATCTTTCTCCCATGGAACTGCTGACCCTGAGGTTAGCAGCCTGATTCATAACCAGTATGCTACCAGAGCTCCTTGAAGCCCTGATATAGGGCTGTACAATGCTCTCTGGCCAGAAACATCTGTGGTGAGTGAAAGATCTCTCATTGCATTTTTTTCCCTAAATTCAGTACTTTTAATTTTCCACTAGTATGAAAAACAATCTTACAATATTGACATAGTTGAAATAAAAAGGTGTGTGAAAAGTTTTTTCTTTTTCCACAGTTTAAGCCTACAAATGATAAGTCAAGTCAGCTTGATCTGGCTTTAAATTGTGTGGTATGCCTCTGTGGGTGAGGAAGTACTCACACTCTCCCTGCAATATGAACTTCTTGCCTTGTGCCCTTTATTCAGTGCAAATATATATATATGAATAGAGGTTAGCTGGTAGGCTAATGATTAGCTTTTGAGCTCTTGAGGTCCAGAAAACTAGCAAACTCATTTGCTTTTTTCATTCAAATTGACTTGTTTGGTACCATGTAAAAAAAAGTTTGGACTTGGCATCTTATCAATGCTTCTAACATTTCCTGTTTTTCAATGTGTAATCAGTACTTCAGTGTATCTCTTCTGGACTCTATGTCATCTTCTTTTATAAGAAGACATCAATTCAAGCAAAAGAGTTCTGCTATATGGTGCAAACAAGTTAGGTGAACGAGACCTATTTGGAAAACAGAATTAGCATCTTGTTGAGCCTATGGCACTAGGAGCAGGGACAATTCATAATCCATTAGAAATGGGTAGGTGACATCAATAGGATCAATGAGACACAGTCATTCAAGAAAATCAGTTGGATTCAGAGAATGAGAAAGGCTGAATTTGGGCTTACTAACACAGGAGTCCTGGTGTGGCACTGTGGGCTAATACGTCAGACTGCAAAGTCATTTGAACTGCAAGGTTGGTGGTTCAAGCTTACCAGCTGCGCCTTGGAAACCCTATACAGGGTCGCTATGAGTTGGAATAGACTCAACGGCACTTAACAACAACAACACAGAAGGCCAGGCAGGACCACTAATGTTAAATTAGCAAACTGACTCTGAGAGTCAAACAAGGGAAAAAGGAATCAAAACTAAAGAGCAAGTCTAAAATGCTGCAGTGTCTAGACGTCTTCATAGCCACTGTGTGAAGTAAGTTGGCCAATTTAACTTCTTAAGCACTTTGGGTGGTGTCAGCTAAGTCTCTGAGAAATCTAAGAATGCGCACTGTCACTATGCCTCTCTGGGCCTCTACTTTCTCATCTGTAAAATGTGGATTTAACTAGGGGTTTTCAGGGCCCTATCAGATTTTAAAGGAGCACTGGTAGCGTAGTGGTTACGAATTGGGCTGTGAACCACAAGGTCAGCAGTTCGAAATTATCAGCTGTTCTGTGGGAGAAAGATGAGGCTTTCTGCTCCCGTAAAGATTTACAGCCTCGGAAACCTGGTACAGGGTCGCTATGAGTCAGAACCGACTCCATGGCACACAACAACAACATCATCAGATTTTAACATCCCAATTCATTCATTTGACAATTCAAAACTCATTTATATCCACTATGAAAGAGGTTACACAGGTCCCAAGTCATAGGTCATAGCAGACATTCTCTGATGTTTGGGAAAATAGGAAAAGCTTGTTTTCTCCTAGTTACCTACTGTCTGGAGAGAAATCTGCACGCTGACAGTGAAGGAGCAGAAACAAAAGTGGAAGGGGATATATTCCTAGTTCTTGAGTTACTAGATAGCCTAAAATCCAAAGGGTAACTGCCAGCAATACAAAGACATTTATTAAATTTCCCTGTAAAAACAACAACAAAAAAGGCTTCTTGTAATCCTGCAGCTTCACTGCCTTCTGTACCTTTCAATTTTTCCGCAACAATGCTACATTCGTGGTCTGAATAGTGGACCACTGGAGGAGGGGAAGGAGGGCGCAATCTTTCTTCTTCCATCCTTCGGCGGTGGCGCTCCTCTCTTGCTAACATACGCTGTTTACATTCCCACTCATACAGGTCATCTCGAGCCTGCGCAAAGTCAACATGGAGTCGACCAGTGTCCTTCTTGTCAGTGCTAGAGCCCAGGCGAATGCGGTAACCTAAGTTTACAGAGGGGAAGAAGAGAGAGAAAGAACAGTTAAGTTTGGGGGAAAAAGGTTCAGATGAGGGTACAGTAGTTTCGAGTGACCAAATAACTCCAGATCCTCTCCTCACTACGAGCAAGGAGACCCACCAAAAGGCTTAGATGACAGCCTCATCTCTGGCAATGGCTTCCTTACTGTTCTATGGTTTGGGTTCATCTTGTTCTTAGGAATTCCATTCTTCCCACTGCCACCTACTTCCGGCAGAGGGCAGCTCTGTGGCTAATGGTATGAGCCTTCTATGGTACTGGCAATGGGGAAAAAAAGATGACCTCAAACTATGGTGTCTTTGCATAACTTCAGCAAGACTGCCAGTCATATTACCAAATGCACTTTGGTAGCATTTAAATGTATTAGATCAGTTCTTCAATCCCTAAATTTGCTTCCTAGATGCATTTAGTCACTCTGAATCATCCTGTTTGGGGGGGGGGTGATATTATGAGAGTGGTATGTGACCCAAGGAACATGCAGTTTTAATTCCTTGGGGGAAACCTTATATAGAATCACTAGGAGTCGGAATCAACTCAACGGCACTTAATAACAGTACTACACAAGTCTCTTGACAAAAACTGGAGGGAAAACATTAAGTACTTTTTAAGTTTTCAGTTTTAAGAACTGAGCTAGATGTTTCCACATACATTTACACTTCATTTCCAGCACTATTTATGGAGTAAACACTTTAGAGAAAAGAAAACAGTATCAGAGAGATTAAGTGGCTTTCTCAGGGTCAGATAACTAACAACTGGTAGCGTTGGGAACTGGAATTCAAGGATGTTAAGAGTCAAAATCCATCGTGTTTTTCATGATTCCAACCTCCCTCACAGGAATAATATCCAACAAAGACTTCTGCTTTGAGTCAAGAAAGATTATAGGACCATATTTACCCCTATGCCTGAGACAGCTAAAAATCTGGGTAAAATATATGAAACAATGTCTTTTAAGATGCTGGACATCAGGTGATGAAGAACAGTGATCAGTTAGAGACAGAAAACAAATGAAGTGATTGGGATGATCATAGTTTATTGCCTGGGCTGCCATGCATGGAGGGGGAGGGACTCTGCTTTCCCTGAATGGAGGAGCTAGAACTAGGAGTCCAGGGATGCTAGCACAGATGGAGTTGGCAGAGAATTGGAGAAATAAGGCTACAAAGATGAAACCTTCAGAGAGCTATACAGGGGCCTCCTGTATTGTTTAGCTAAGTACTGATAACTACATGAGATTAGAAAGGACATCCCTGGAGTTGACACAGGGCTGGAAGATTGTTTGTTTGTTTGTCAGCCAGAGCAGAGCAACTCTTAATTCATGGTGCATTAGGTAGAGTACTCAGAAGGATTTTTGCCTCATTAGTGAAGGAAAACATTCCCTGGACTAAACACTGCTCTGGTCCTGCCTTACAAAGCAAGATTGAAAAGAACCTAAAGGTTTACAAGCTACTTAATTGCATCCCAGAACAAAGCTTAAGAACATTTATAGGTATAGAAAAAGAATCCTGCACCCAACAAGGCAAAATGCACAACGTGTGGTATCCAATTAAAAAATGACCAGGTATGTAAGAAGCAAGAAAACAGGACCTATAATAAAAATGAAAAAATCAATCAAAAGTGATCCATACACTAGAATTAATAGGCAAGGACATAAAACAACTATTTTAATTGGATTTCATTTGTGTTCAAGTTAGAGAAAAGACAGAACGTAATAGATACACATAGATTTTTTTTAAAAAAAAGAGTACAAAATAATATAACTTTTAGAAATTTAAACTATAATACCTATATTAAAAAAAAACCATCACTGAATTGGACTGATGGCAATAGAAATTGCAGAAGGCAAGTTCAGTAAATGTGAAGACATAGCAATAGAAACAATATAAAATGAAACAGAGAAAGAATTGGTTATTATCAAGTAGTCATAAGCTCCAAATGGTATTCCTGGTGGGACGCTATAGAATAAGCACTTAAACTGCCAACCTTGCGATTAGCAGAACTGCTAATCGCAAGGTTGGCGGTTCAAGTCTACCAGCTGCTCCTCAGAAACCCTATACAGGGTTGCTATGAGTCAGATCCGACTCCATGGCACTTAACAGTTGAATACTAGAAAGAGAGGAATGTGGGGGAGAGAAATATATTTGGAGAAATAAGGGCAGAAACCATTCCAAACTTGATAAAAACTATGAACTCACAGACCCCAAAGCAGTTCAATGACCACCAAGCCCAAGAAACATAAAGAAAATTATAACACAGCACATCAGAATTAAATTGCTCAAAACTAGTGTTAAAGGGAAAAGCTTTAAAGCAGACATAGGAGAAAAAACACATTATGGACAGAGAAACAAAGACAAGGGTCACATCTGATTTCTTTTTAGAAACAATGTAAGAAAGAAGACAGTGAAGCAAGAGGTGAGAGAAAAAAACCAAAAACTGTCAACCTAAAATTCTATACCCAGAGAACATATCTTTCAAAAATAAAGGTGAAGTGAATACTTTTTTTTCCATACACGCAAAACGCTGAAAGAATTCATCCCACGCAGACCTGCCCTACAAAAGAGAATGCCAATGAACATTCAGGCACAAGTGGAAATCTGGATTGATACAAAGGAAGGAAGAGCATACATCGTGAATGATTCCGTTTATATGATACGCTAAAAATGCAAACTAACCTGACAGCTGGGGAGGGAGAGAGAGGGACAGGAAGAAGAGACAACAAAAGGGCAGGCATGAGGAAGCTTTTAGGGGTGATGAATTTGTTCATTATTTGAATTGTGGCTGTGATTTCCCAGGTAGGTACATATGTCACTTCTTACCGAATTGTACTTTTGAAATATGCAAAATTCACTGCATTATCAATTATACCTCAATTAAACTGTTAGAAAGAAGAATACCCGGTAACCCTAAAACTGCCATGAATTCTTTTTAGAAAGAGAAAGACTATATTTCATAAGCAGTCATTTCTAGGGCCCTTTACAAATCTATTCATCTTACTGGATCATCAGAGCTCTCAGCCAAATGGGGCTAATAATGATTACCTTGCCTGTTTTCCCAGGATTGCAGAGAGGACCAAATGAGAGGATGACGAAAGCCTCTGTGTCAACAACACTAATGATGTGATGACGGTGACTAAGGTGTGCTGACTGCCACGCCAGCTCCCCAAAGTGCTCCAACTCCAATCGAGGAAAAAACAAGATGATTTCTCGATTTTTCTAGACCTTTGTACAGGCATTTTTGTTTGCGTGTGTGTTTTAATTGAACCTCTTTGTTTTACAATGTAGGGCAACAGCCATCCAATTCAGGGGACCTTAGCACTTGTGAACTTTTAGGGGGTTGGTTCAAATTTAAAGGGGAACATCATGTACATGTTTTCGCATCACTGGTTGTGGTCCCCTTTCTTTATGCAACCCTGCCACTATTTTCAGGAGGTGGTTGGTAACAGGGCGCTGATTTCAATGATGTTTAGATGGGGCTGGACACCTACCTCCCAAGCAGCATGCTGTCTTTTATGCATAACGGTGCAGGGCTTTGCAAGACCTTTTCATTGTTATTAAAATCTTCTATTGTGGGATGCTCTCTTCTAGTTGCTAAGTGCTGTTGAATCTTCAGTAGTTAGACCCTACAGCACTTAGTAGCTGTGTAATAAGTCTTCTGTATCTGCCTCCTCCTCTCCTTCCCTGTTACTAGCCGACTTTTTCAAACCCTCTTCTCTAGCCTATCACAACAGGCCTGTCTCCTCTCTTCTCTTTCTTGTTCAAAAATTTATTCAACATTTCCCTGCTACTCAAGGAGAAGTTCTCTCCCCACCCTGCCTTAGTCACTCTACCCGCTAGCTTATTTTATCGTCTTCACAGCACTTGTCAGAAACTGATATTAACGATTTATTTGCATGGATGGTGTGGCTCTGTAGGATCAGCACTGGACTGCGAACCACAAGGTCGGCAGTTCAAACCCACCAGTTGCTCCTCAGAAACCCTATACAGGGCTCACTATGAGTTGGAACTGACTCAACAGCACTTAACAACGCACAAAAAATGTATACTATTTTCCCATCTCTAGAATGTAATCTCCTGATGGCAGGAAGTCTGTCTTTATAATGGCTATATCCCCAGCAGCCTTCCATTCTGCTGTCTTGTTGTTAAGGGCCTGAATTAGAGATTTAAGAGTGAAAGGGGGGACGGGACAAGGGTGAAAATGGTAGTTCCAGTCACAGGAAAATGCCTAAGATATCCTGGCCCATTATGGAAACCAGAGAGCATGGCTGGGATACAGTGTGTGGATGGGAAGATGACAGTGACAGGCAGGAGAGCAGATCATCACGGCCTTTCTATGGCACGTGTCAGATGGGTGGAGTTATCCCATACAGACCATTGGGAGCTATGGAACAGCTTTAAAGGACGAAATGGGTGGTTAACATGCATTTTCCATCTCTGAAGAGAAGAGGCTTAACATTAAACCCAAATTTTAGCTGTCACAGATACAAACACACTGATCCCCAAACGCTCAACTGTGTTTGAAGGACACAATCCACCTACCTGACAGATAAAGGGCTTTGTCCACCATAAACTCCTCAGCAAAGCGAATATGGCAAAAGTTCTTTTTGCTCTTCCGAATGGCAATGATCTCTCCACATTGTTCAAATACTTCCACGATGATCTGTTCTGTTCCATTTTCAGGCAGACCGCCCACAAACACGGTTTTGCATCCTGGTGGTCTTTCTCGGGTTGCAGGAGGTGGAAGATCTAAGTGTAAGAGCAAAAAGCATTTGAAATGAAAATGTTTGCTTTGGGCAGACCTCTCAGAAACTTACCCCAGAGATAACCTTACTGTTCCCATCCAACATTTGCAGAAGAGTGCCCGAATATGTGGCCTCCATGGTGTGCACTTTTGCTTCACAGCAGATCGGTTGCCATGAACCTGAATATCACTTTGTTCAACGGTTTACTGACGATGATATCTACAGGATAAAGACCTAGGTCCATCTGTCGGTCCCGTCCAGAGTTCTTCAGTTTTGCTCTGTTCTTTGGTTGTAATACCCAGTTATTTTTAAATAGGATGACAGTTACTGGGGGGGAACCCCATTTAGCTGAAACTTGTACTTTCAGGAGTTCTCAAAACCAGGGTTCCTGAGAGAAGTGTCTGTTTTATTCAGATTGCATTTACAATGAACTCTCTGTGTTTGTGCTTACTGAAAGAACTGTTTCAGGCAGGATTCATTTGACAATGATGGGGTGAGTATTTACAAAAATATTTACAGTTGCCAGAATGATGTGTTTACCAGAGTAGGCCCAAGTCCAAACCATTCATTTGTTTATTTTTCCTGTCAGTGAGCCCTTTCTCAAACTCCTTACTGATGAGGTGAGGTTCAGAAGGAAGCATGAGCAAAATCAGGAAAAGTAAGCTTGTGTGGGAAATTATTAACTGAAGTGAGATTAATTTGGCTATAGAGAGTCATTAACAACCTACTTAATGAGATGATTCTCCTTCTGCTTAACAAATATGCTTCCTACTCACTCATCTTACTATACAGTCGGTCTTTTTTGCCAGCTCTTTGTTGCTATTTTTAGGTATCAAAGCATTTTCCAAGCAAAATCCTACAGTTCATAACCCAACAAAACAAAGCATGATGGTCATGGATTTTTCTAGTGTTGGTTTTGTATTTGCAGGGATTTACTTTGTATAATCTGTTCTTTTCATTTGGCTCTTGTATAATCTGTTCTTTTCATTTGGCTCTTAACAAGTCATCCCACTCAAGATTTGGAAAGCTCAACAACCAGTGATTATAGCTCACGTGCAAAAAGAAATGAGCCTCACTTGTAGATGAGGCCAAGGCCTCACCAGACGCTTATCAAAGTTGGCAAGCAGTTTGTTTGGGTGTCAGCATCTCTAGCTTCCTCACTTCGCTACTGCCTTCTGTCTTATTTGTGTGACTCAGATGCCTCCATTTCCCCTCTATTAAGTCACTAAAAGGGGTAAAGGAATTCAAGGAATGGATACACTTTTTGTTAATTCTGCAAATGTCTGTATGAGGGGGCTTCGAAAAGTTTATGGGAAATGGAATGAAAAGATAATGGAATGTTTCCATGAACTTTTTGAAGTCCCCTAGCATTTACAAGAGTTCATTGTATTGGTTTTGATCCATATGCGAGGTGTTGAGATAAAAAAGAGGAGAACCCAATGAGCAAGATTTTGAAATATCTGTCATGGTCACTGAAGATGTAGTTTTAGTCAGATAGAGGAAGATGTGGTTCGAATCTCATCTGCGACTTATGCTTCTGAGTTTTTAAGACTGGAAAGGGATTCTACATATTATACTTTCAGTGATTCTCAACTCTGGTGGCAAATGAGAATCAACCTGGGAGTCAAACAAGCAAATAAACAATGCCTGTGACCCAGCTCCGAGTCTGATTGAATTAGTCTGGGTCCACCTTGGGCTATTTTTCTTTTTAAAATCTCCTCAGATAATTCTAATGTGCAACTAAAAACCACTGACTTAGTTTACAGCCCTCATAATACGGAGAGAAAACTTGAGCTGAGTGAGATTAAGTGCGCTGTTCTGGGTCACCGCATCACAGGTACAGAGAAGCAGCACGAACTTGGAACAGGTAAACTTAGGTTTAGTCTTAACTTACTATCTGTATGGTCTTGGGACCACCTGACTTTATTTTTTCATCTGTAAAATAAGGAAACTATTCCTTACCTTGCAGGGGTGTTTTAAGGACTATCTATATTGTATATGGAGTCCTGGTGTGGCACTGTAGGTTAATGCGCCAGACTGCAAAGCTGTTTGAACTGCAAGGTGGGTGGTTCAAGCACACCAGCTGCTCCCCGGAAACCCTACACAGGATCACTATGGTCGGAATTGACTCGACGGCACTTGACAACAACAACATATTGCATATAAGGTAACATAGAGGGTTATGAGTTGGACTGCTAACCTCAAGGTCAACAGTTCAAATCTACCAGCTGCTCCATGGAAAAAAAGATATGACTTTCTGCATCCATAAAGATTTACAGCCTCACAAACCCGATACAGAGTCGCTATGAGTTGAATCAACTCCATGGCACACCACCACCACCACCATCACTATATTGCATATAGTAAAATGCCTAGTGCTTGATTGCTGTTAAGTGCCGTCGAGTCGGTTCCAACCCATAGTGACCCTGTATAGGGTTTCCAAGGAGTAACTTGTGAGCTTGAACCGCCCACCTTGCAGTTCAAACAGCTCTGCAGTCTGGCGCATGAACCCACAGCGCCACACAAGGGCTCCTAGTGCTTGATTAGTTCCCAATAAATTGTTGTTAGGTGCTGTGGAGTCAGCTCTGACTCCATAGTGACCTTCTAACAAAATAAATATGAAATAAATTGGTCCTGTGCCATCCTCATAATTGTTATGTTTGAACCCATAATAAATGTCATTCTTAAGTACCTTCGAGTCAGTTCAGACTCACACATAGCAACCCTGTAAAGGGTTTCCAAGGAGCACTTGGTGGGTTTGAACCACTGACTTTGCGGTTAGCAGTTCAGTAAAGTGCCATACCAGAACTCCTCCTTATTATTTACTTTTAATAGAACCCACACTTTCTAATTATCAATCTGGGGCTTTCTAAATAGCCCTACCACAAGGCCAGACTGATAGCTAAAACTTGACCTTCTTTAGACAAAGCAGGCATTGAGCAAAAGAATTCTTCGAGGTAGAGGCATCTACAGCTGTGATGACATGGTTTTGAATACAGAACACAATTGAGCTACTGACTACAGAGACAGGGAATTTTCAAGGGCATTGTACAGTTAGAGCAATGTTTTCAAATAGAAGAGTTTAAAATAAAATTCTGCTTTAGAATAAAAATCTTAACAAATTTGGTATTTAAGGAACTGTTATGGTAAAGGATCTTATGTGAAGCAAAGGATCATTTAAAAAATATGTTTTTTTTTTTTTTTTTTCTTAAATTAGGTATACTTTTTGGTCGGCTGAGATATTCTAAGGCATGTGCAGTGACTGCTGTAGTTACATGTTAACACTGAGAGTCCCAAGTCCCCTTCCTCTGACTACATTTGTAGGATCTTTAAATTCTGTGATGAAGTCATCACCCTGTTTAGAAGCTGTGACTGAAATCCACCAAGACTAGTGTCAAGAATGCTGTGGACTACTTTATGCAACTTGGGTAAATGTAGAAAGCCTCTCCAACAGTGCCTGCTGAGAAGTAAGTAAGTGCATGGCACCAAGCAAAGCAATGGGCTGCACTATTTTCCTTAATGGATAGCAAGCACCCATTCTTTAACCAGCAGCCAAAGTACTCCGTTGTCTGGGTCTGATTTTCTCACCCCACTGAAATAACAGTGATCTGACACAGAAACAATAACCCCCACAGGAAAGCAAATTCAAAGGCCACCTATTAATCAGGTATTGTGCTGAGCTCTTGGGATGGAGAAGAAAACGTCCATGTAAATAAATTTAAGATAACGGGCAGTATAAAAGCACTCTAAGCTCTGGTCATGGAAAATGAGGTGTTTCTAGCTATTCTAATTACATCCAAGCAACCACTCTGGGGAGCTGTGTTGGGGCAATCAGCATTAGGATCAGAGGCTTTGCTGATCTTTGAGAAGCCAGGCAAAGAGAAGCATCCAGGGCCTACAAACCGCTTGCATCGTACTTTTCAAAGGAGCATCAACAGATCATTCTGCTGGTTTGCCAGAATTTACAAAGGAGTCCTGGTGGTATAATGGTTAATTAAGCTCGGCTGCCCATCATAAGGTCAGTGGTTTGAACTCACCAGCTGTGGGAGATATGACTTGGTGGTCTGCTCCCATAAAGATTCCAACCTCGGAAGTCCTATGGGGAGTTCTACTCTGCCATACAGAGTCACTAGGAGCTGGAATTGACTCAATGGCACACAACAGAACGACATTCCCTGAAAAGGACTTTGGCCTTTATTTTGAGTGAAGTGGGAGCCATTAAAAGATTTTGCATCAAGGGCTGACACGATGTGATGAGTTTGAAAAGAATCAGTCTGCCTCTGTTTTTGTAAATAGACGGACTGCAGTAGGCCAGTGTGAAAGGGGAACTAGTTAGAAGGCTACTGCCACCATTCAAAAAATGAAACCTGGTGGCTAAAGATTGGGTCATGACATCAGTTAGGGTGAGATTAAGTAGGCAGCTAGGGTTCTATTTTAAGGTAGTTCTAAGAGAATTTTCTAAGGAGCTCTGGTAGCGCAGTGGTTACGAATCGGGCTGTGAACCACAAGGTCAGCAGTTCAAGACTACCAGCTGTTCTGTGGGAGGAAGATGAGGCATTCTGCTCCCGTAAAGATTTACAGCCTCAGAAACCCTATGCAGGGTCGCTATGAGTCGGAACCGACTCCATGGCACATAACAACAACAACACGCTAGATACAGGAACTGATTCTATGATCAACTGAATCTATCTATGCAAGGTAGGAGATACAATTGTTGTCTGAAGTCACCTGTCAAAGGTTCTTGTTTATCTTGATAAGGCAGGTTCATTTGCTCCATGGTCTTGAGCCCATGCGTTCGAACCATAACAAACAGCTCTAATCTCAGCACTATGTTGGCAGCTCCCTTAGGTATGCCACCCAACACCACTGTTGTGGTTGGTACTTTTGAGTCGATTTTCTATTCACAGCAATCTCATGTGACAGAGTAAAACTGCCCCATGGGGTTTTCTTGGCTGGTGTGGCACTGTAGGATAAGCACTGGTCACAAAGTCAGTTTCAACTGCAGAGTCGGTGGTTTAAAACCACCAGCCGCAACTCGGAAGCCCCTTACAGGGTTGTTATGAGTTGGAGTTGAGTTTACAGAAGCAGATTGCTAAGTCTTTCTCCTGCAGAGCCACTGGTGGGTTTGAACCACCAACCTTTTAGTTTTCATCTGAAAACGTCACCATTGTGCCTCCAGGGTCCAGTACCATGAGAACTGTAGAGAAAACTTAAATGAGGCTTGGGTCACGTACAGACATCATCATTGATCATTTAAAGTAAATCAAAGCCCTCACCAATCCAGAAAAAGTTCACGCCAATTACTACTGCTGCAATGTACCTGAAATATGGCCACCACAGATTTCCATATGTTTTTCAGAAAGCCTACGGAGAATTTTATTCATGACTGAAAAGACAGATCCCTGGATCATTTCCACATGAACGGCGCTGACTGGAATGCCTGTATGTAGTCTTAATCTTAATATTCCCCTTTGTCCTCAGAGTTAGTGGATCCACACATCACTGTTTATTGCAGCCCATCATTGGAACGGCAATAATTCCAGGGCTATGTGACTAACTGGTGGCAGTGGAGGAGTTTTAGGACCAACTGTATATGCCCATGTGCCTCAGGTAGGCTCAGAACACACTCTGTCTGCTGCCACCAGCATATGTGCCAGTTATGAAAAGGACAGACTGCAAATGCCGGTGCTGTATGTCGAGCAGTTTATGTTGGGTGCCTCCTTCTGTGTCAACACACTTTCCAGATGGCAGCAGAAATATAATTTCTCATCTGCCTTATAACCAGCACACAAAACCTACTGTTCTAGGTGTAAAATTCAACCTTGTTTGGTAAGAGAACATTTCCCTCCCTTCTGTTTTCTAGGTGAAGCTTGTAAACATGCATCTAGGAACCTCTTAGGTATTGTAGTCTTTTGAAAAGGAAAAAAAGCTTTGTTAGACACCAATGCAATATGACTTGTGGGAAGAAAAAACAACCCCGTACTTGGATTTGGAGGGAAGAGCGTGCAGCTTTTACAGTGTATGATCTCCTTCACGACTGGCATATCTGGTGGAATTGGTGGAGGTACGATTCCCAAACCAGGCATCAATGGTGTTAAGGGTGGAATTCCAGTCATCATGCCAAGAGCAGGATCGAAGTCTAAAAGAAGGAGAGAGGGGAGAGAGAGAGAGAGCAATAAATGTCACCAGGTAAGGTCAAGTGAAGGCAGAATGCTACCTTTAAGTCTAAGGTGTTATTAGCGCCGTCAAGTCGATCTGGACTCATAGCAACCCTGTATAGGGTTTCTAAGGAGTGGATGGTGGCTTTGAACTGCCAACCTTGTGGTTCAAACTGACTTTGTGGTCCAGTGCATTAACCCACAGCACCACACCAAACAGAGGGCAAAGTATTTCAGAAACCGTGGTACTTAACATTGCCAGGTTTTAAAATGTTACACTGTTGTGCATTTACCTTTTGAGTGAGGCTGTGTGCTCTGTTTGACCAGTGCCTATTTAAGGCCCTGCATCTCATTTTGACATCCAAAGCTTTTCATATTAGACTGTACTTTGTCTAGTACCTGAAACCCTCTGCTCCATTCAGACATGGCTCTTTGCTGTCCTTAGTACATACAATGGTGGTTCCTGTTTCTATGTGGTACAGCAACATACTAATAGTGTACAGTTTGGGGATCAAGCAGACCTGGTTCCTGATTCTGCCCTTTGAGTAGCTGGAGGAACCATTTCAATCTCCATTTCCTCATCTTCAAAACAGGATTATTATTGCCTACCTTGCAGGAGGTTGTGAGGAATGAAGAAAACAATAACTGGCATGTGTTCAGCACAGTATGTAGTTCAGGAATGTTCATTCATTGTGCCTCTGTTCAAGTTTCTCCTTATCCAGATAAGGACCATTTATTTAAACCTCCCCAAGTTCTTTCCACGCTTCAAGGCCTTGCTTAAGTCCATCCTCCTTGAAGAAGCTTTTCCAGAAAATTCTGGGTCGAAAACTTATTGATTCTATGCCTAATGGATCCACAATCAACACTCGTGGAAGCAGCAGACAAGAAATCAAATAATGTATTGCACTGGGCAAATCTGCTGCACAAGACCCCTTTTAAAGTGTTGAAGAGCAAAGATGTCAGCTTGAGGACTAAGGTGCGCCTGACCCAAGTCATGGTATTTTCAATAACCTCATATGCATGAGAAGGCTGAGCAACAAATAAGGAAGACTGAAAAAGAATCTATGCATTTGAATTAGGGTGTGGGTGAAGAATATTGAAAGTACCATGAACTGCCAGACCAAACCAATCCGTATTGGAAGAAGTACAGCCTGAATTGAATGTTCATTAGAAGCCAGGATGACTAGACTTCATCTCTCATACTATGGACATGTTATCAGGAGGGACCAGTCCACAGAGAAGCACATCGTGCTTGGTAAAGCGGAGGGTCAATGAAACGAGGAAGACCCCCAATGAGATGGATTGACTCGATGGCACCTAACAACAACATACCTATTGGCATAGAATTTTCATTTTGTACCACCTCTAATTGTTTCCTTCAGGGTTGCCTCTAGGATGTGTGGAGGAACCCTCAGGACAAAAATTGTCGTAAGGACCCTGTCTCTACATATAACTGGACTTACCCCTAAATCAGGGTCCGTGCCATTCTAATGGTACAATGTCACATGATGCCATAAAAGAAACACCATACCAGCCAGATGGCAAGATTTATTTGCTGCCCAGGATACCCTCCTGGAACCAGGACTTTGGGAGGATCCCATAAGCATGAATCCTGAAGTTCCTTGGGGCATCTGGTCTATCCCACATGTTTGTGTGGGTGGGCAGAGTACCTTGAAAGGGAGAAATGGGAACCAGGGTCCATGTGGGCTCTGTTAGGGAGTGGGGTTCCTGTCTTAGATGACACTGCAAGCTATGGCCAGTTCCACACACGGGAGGGAAATGGGAAATTTTGAGAAAGGTGCCTCTGGCAACCAGAACCCATGTAGGGCCTGGTCTGGCTTTGGGGTTAACTGCCTAGATGTTACTGCCTGTCCAACTAGTCCCTGAAGTATTAAGTTAGGCATTCCATAGCAGGTCCCCCTGAAGTACAGGCTCAGGAAGGGAAGGCGGTTCTACTTCTAAGTCTAAGGCGGATACTGACTGCACTGTTTCAGTTTTCTTATCAAAATATGCAAGTTCCCGAGCCTGCAAAGTACTCTCCCATCTATGTTTCCCACATCTTCCTGCTCTCTGCTGTAGGAGGATTACAAACGATTACGTTAGTTCTGCTAATGCAGTAAGCAAGGCCTACTCCCAAAGACTTAACCCTCTTTACCACATACAGCCACAGAGCCAACCCCTAGAAACATGGCCTTAGGGTGGACTTGAAGTCCCCTGGGTAGCTCTCTAGGATACTGGAGGAGGTAGACCTGAGCAGCAAAAAGAACCTGTGGTTTCCTCAGAAGCATATCTGCAAGCACAACACTTCCAGTTAAGAGGGAGGCCTGGGACCGTGGGCCGACGGGCATCCTTCATAGCAGAACCAGGACCAAGAGAGCTAGAACCTTCTCTGTCCTAAAGCACACATTTCATCCCGAGATGTCAAGACACTGTAAATGTTAAGTGCCATCCAGTCGGTTCTGACCCATAGCAACTCTGTATAGGGTTTCCAAGGAGCACCTGGTGAGCTTGAACTGCCGACCTTGCAGTTCAAATGGCTTTGCAGTCTGGCGCATTAACCCACAGCGCCACACCAAGACTTAGAGGTGGTGGGGCAGGGATCCTTCCAAGAGAAATGTTAATTATTCTGAAAGCATTTTTCTTGCATCTTCCCAAAATGCAAATGTGTGCATGTACCCTCACACATTTTCTCCCTCCCTGTGGCTCTCTACTCTTCCAATAATATTTATGTGACCTGAGGAAAGTTTCTTAATACAAGAGTCCTGGTATGGCGCTGTAGGATAAGCACTGGACTTCTAAATGCAAGGTTAGTGGTTCAAACCCACCAGCTGCTCTTCGGAAACTCAATCTAGGGTCGCTATGATTCAGAAACAACTTGATAGCACTTAACAAAAACAACAGAGACTTTTAGAACAAATACAAAGACTTCTGGTGTGGCAGGTATTCCTGATAGGCAAGTTTTTTTCTTTCTGTTCAGAACATGTACACATGTCCTGAGAAATTCCCTGATTTGGGCATTCATTCCCAAACTCCACAAAACTATCTTATAATCCTTCTATATAATGGACTTTACGCAGGTAAAGGAGTCCTGGTGTGCCATTGCAGGAGAATGCACTGGACCACCAGATGGGCAGTTTAAACCCAACAGTTAGTTACTCCTGGGAAACCCTAGGCAGGATCCTTAGGAGTTGGAACTGACTCCATGATACTTAACAACAATGCAGGTAGAGTCTAGGCCTCACTTTTGATCTTGGAAAATTTAAGGCCCCTAACAGTCTCTGGTAAGGAGCTCTGGTAGCATAGTGGTTACGAATCGGGCTGCAAACCTTAAGGTCAGCAGTTTGAAACTACCAGCCGCTCCGCGGGAGAAAGATGAGGCTTTCTACTCCCGTAAGGATTTACACCCTCAGAAACCCTGTACAGGGTCGCTATGGGTCGGAACCGACTCCAAGGCACTTAACAATAACAGTCTCTGGTAGCGTAGTGGTTATGAATCGGGCTGTGAACCATAAGGTCAGCAGTTCAAAACTACTAGCTGCTCCGCTGGAGAAAGATGAGGCTTTCTGCTCCCGTAAAGATTTACAGCCTCGGAAACCCTGTACAGGGTCGCTATGGGTCGGAACTGACTCCATGGCACATAACAACAACAATAACAACAGTCTGTAGAATAAGAGCTATGGTTATGAATGTCATTTATGTTTGGAAAACAGGATTTCTCTGGCAAAAGATTTTGGTTAAATTGTTAACATGATCTTGCCCATTTGCCAGCTGTTAATTTTTTGAGGAAAAAAAATCAGATTTGATTGTGTGCCAACTTAAAAATCACATGTATTTGCCCCCTCCTACTGAAATGTCTGTCTTGCTTTTATTGTTCTGTCTGCCTCCTTATTGTTATTCATATACCTCTGTCACTCACAACTTTACTTTACCACAGATTACAGATGTATTCATTCAATAAACAAGTTCTACCACTTTGAGAAGGAAATGCCCGTCTTCATGTACTGTCTACTAAGAAATGGAGACAAAAACCAAATTGTTGTTGTTATGTGCCGTGGAGTGGGTTCCAACTCATAGCGACCCAGGATAAATATAACTACTGACTGATGTACTCACCACTCTGCTGTTTGGTATGATTACATTAATATTTTATGAATCTCATTTAAAAGCAAATATATTCATGACGTATGGCTAAAGCCAGAGGAGATCAACCCCTTTCCTTCCTTGCATTCAGTATGCCAAGAGTAGCATAGGCTACAGTGCCCAGTCGAGTTTGTTATGGGGCAGGTTGCACAGGACCTTTCAGAAGGCTCCATCACAGTCATTATTTCTTTTGATTCTCTTCAGTGAACAAGCACCAAGGGGAGCGTGGTGACTCCAGAGGCTAAGCATTGGACAGCAAATCACAAGATGGAGGGTTCGAAGGTCCGCTTGGCGCCCTGTTGGGGGAGGCGCCCTCTTTGTGGGGTCTTCCTCGTGGTTGTGGGACGTAAAACCAGGTCTCTGCTGCGAGGGCAGTATGTCAGACAACGAGGACAATTTTAATGGTGACGACTTTGATGATGTGGAGGAGGAGGAGGGACTAGATGACCTGGAGAATGCCGAAAAGGAGGGCCAGGAGAACTTCGAGATCCTTCCATCCGGGAGCGACCTCAGGCCAACCAGAAGCGGATCACCACGCCATACATGACCAAGTATGAGCGAGCCCACGTGCTGGGCACCCGAGCCCTCTAGGTGGCGATGTGTGCTCCCGTGATGGTGGAGCTGGAGGGAAAGACAGACTCCCCCTGCTTATCACCATGAAGGTGCTCAAGGCCCGAAAGATCTCCATCATCATTCGCTGCTACCTGCCAGACTGGAGCTATGAGGACTGGGGCGTGGACGAACTCATCATTACCAACTGAGCCCCAGCCTCCTCCTCGCCCCATCTCGGCCTCTTCATCCGTGTAAATAAACTGCTCCGCCATCCAAAAAAAAAAAAATC